TCAAATCTGGACAGCTCTAGAACTACCTGGAACTACTTCTCAGAGGGGGCAGAGGCTGAAGGGAGACTAGAATTCCTCAGAATAACGGAGAGTGTTCTGGTTTTTTTAAGGTGCGGGGTGGTAGCAGAAAGGGAGAAGAACACTAGCTAGCAAGGAGACTAGATGGGGAAGGCCAGAGACATCTCACTGGGAAATTTCTTTCACTTCTGTCCTGTGCTGGCAATGGGCATCTTCTATCTCCGCCCCTACCCCCCTCCCCGCTCCATCCGTCCTTGGTGGGGCAGATCTCCCTGGGGGACGTGGAGGTGGGCATGGCCAGTGCTGAAGCTGTGAGCAAGGCCAGGCTGTAGGCAGCTCCCTGCTCAGTTGAGCTGGGGGAAGGCCTGGCCCTTCCCACGCCCCTCCTGGAATGTAGGGCTGCTCCTGGGAGTTGAGCAAAAGTGTGACTTTCCCTCTGGAGTCTGAGGTCAATCAGCCTCCCAGGCCTGGTCCAGCATTCTTGATGGGGAGCCAAAACAAGCAAGGGGCGAGGGGCCGGGGCAGACTCCGAGGCCTGGCAAGCCCCCGCCATTTGATTGCCCCTTGCTTTCATTCCTTGTGGGGAGGAGGTGTGTTAATGCCAGAAATTCCACCCTGGGGGGAGGGGATGTAAATACCAAGGCTCTCCTATTTGGTAGACCGTGCTGGTCACCTGTAGATGCTGCTAACAGTGTCACAGGGCCAACTCCTGAGACAGTACAGAGCCTGAAGGAAGGCCCAGGGGACCGTGGGAGACAGGCCCAGCTGGGATGGGGGGGTGGGTAGTGGGACAAGGGAGGGAAGTGATATAGCACAGCCTATAATACTGGTAAAAAGAATAACCACCGTTACTGAGCACCTCCTGAATGCCAGCCACTGCCTGACTCAGTTGGTTCATCTTGACACAAAAGGGGGCTGAGGCCTCAAAGATCCAGAAACTGAGGCTTAAAGAGGGTCAGTAACTTGTCTAAGATCCCACAGCAGAGGCAGGCCTGGCCCCCAGGCTCATCCGTCTTCTCTGCTATGCTCTCATCACCCCCTCACCTCTGCCACCCACCTCCCCACTAGGCACCGACATGCTGGGCACAGCTGCTCCAAGCTGCGAAGCCAGGATGCAGACTCCCCTGGGCGAAGGTCCCCAGGAGACATTTTCGTTCTGCTACAATCGGCCTCCCCTCCTCCCCCTGCAGGCTTGAGGGGATGGTCCTACAGGCCCTACCTAGAAGCAGGGTAGTGAGGCATAGAGAAGGGGGCTTCCCATTGTACAACTCCAGAGGCCATATCCATGCAAGCTTCAGGATGAACAGCACCCCCGGGGGCCACTTGGGGAGGCCAAGTGCCCCTGCTTGTTGGGGAAGAGTGTGGATGCGAACTCAGGTCAGTTCTGCGGACTCCTAAGCAGGCCCTTTGGACTCCTGGGAGGATGGCTCAAGCCTTTCCTGGGCAGCTGGGGGGAGGCAGGTGAGGGCAGTCTGAGGAGCTCTACTCAGGGAGAAAGGTTACACCTGGGCAGGCCAAGCCAGGAGGGGAGGGGGCTGAGGAAAGCTGACTGGCTGCCCCAGGCACTTTGTGTTGATGCAGCTGCCCCTGGGCTTCTGGAAGCTTCCCCTGGGTGCGTTTAACAACCAAGGCGGGGGCTCTGTTCCCACTGTGGATGCCTGGAATATTCGTGTTTTCCACATCCCTGTGTGGGAGCCAAAACCAGCTTCCAGGAGCCAGGAGAATTGAGCCTGAAGGGAGAGGGGAAGATTCTCTGGCCCTGGAACTGGCCTTTGTGTAAGTAAGGGACCCAGCTAGGCAGATTTCTCTTTGTCCTTCTATGTGCACAGCCTGGTTCCCTCCCCTCCTTGCCCCACATTTCTTCTCTTTTCTCCTCCCCCTCCTCTTGCTCATTCCCCCCAACCCCCTTCTGATAATTTACCCACAGACAAACTGTGATGCTGTGGAAAGAGTCAGACCTGGTTCAAATTCCGGCTCCACAGCTCACAGCTGTGTGATTTGGGGCAGGTCATTGCCCTCTCTGAGCCTCTCTTCCCTTGTCTGTAAAATGGGACTATAATATCTATCTGACAGACTCTTGGTGGGGTCAGTGAAATCACAAGTACATATGTTCCGGGACCATTTGCCCTTGAAAACCACTGGGTCTAGATCCTGGGAACTACTTTGGTCTTTGAGAGGCCATATGGAATGGCATAAAGTTACTTAATCTGAGTCTTGGTTTTCCCTCGTATAAAATGGAAGTAATGATGGGACCTACTTCAAAGAGCTACAGTGGGGAGTCAGAGATGTCATGGGTGTCCTTAGCACATGGTAAGTGTTCAGTAGGTGATTTGTTATTATCTTTGCGGAGGATTGTTGTCCTGCAGGAACCCGGGGAATGAGGGAAAGAGAAGTCTCCATATAGAACTCCTCTGAGGCTAGCTGTGCTTCCAGCAGTGGGGTGGTGAGGGTCGGGGCACAGGCTTTGTACATTGAAGCCCTAGAATAGAAATATGATGTACCAGGAAGCATGACCCAGGCATTAGTGAAAGCCTGAACAGCCCGGAGAAAGAAAGATGTTTAAATTATATCACCAAATGATCTATAGTCTTTATGCCTTGAATCCAATCTGTCCTAGCAGCCTCAAGACCACACTGGTCTGAACGTGTCTGTTTATGAGTCTGCCTTCCCCTCTAGATTGGTTGGTCCTTGAGGGCAAGGGCCATGTCATCCTTGGTTTCGTGTCAAGTGTGGGTATGTGACAGAAATTGATTTAGAGATTGGGCTTTTGATCCAAGGGGTCAAAAGACAGATGCCCTGGGACTTTTCCTGAAAGGTTTCTAAAGGGTCACTAAGCTGGTATGATATGAGTGAGGAGCCACTGGGGACCATCTTGGTTACCACAAAGGGAGAGCCTGCCTGAGAGTGATGTCAACCCAGAGGAAAGCAGAACTGAGACAGAGGCAGACGCCTGATGACATCGTGTGAGCACCTGGATCCAGCCATTCCTGAAGCAAGAGTTGACCAGTTTAGTTGTGTGAGTTGTTTCGTAAGTTGTTTTTCTTGAGTTGGGTTTCAGTCTCTTAAAACCCAAGGAGTCTAGATTAGTATGGTCTTTCCCCACCTTTATTTAAAAAAGAAAAAGTCTTGATTATCAGAAGATAGCTATGAAAATGTCCCCTGGCCTAGTAGAGATAAGTGATATCTTTCAGAGGCACATTTTGCCTTAGCTCTGAAACAGGTACATCTAGGGTCCAATCCTTCTTCTACCTTGAAGGGACCCTGGCTCCCTTACCTGTAAAATAAGACCAACATTGTTGTGAAGAATCATCAAGAGAAGTAGGAAAATCATGGTTTCTTTAGCTTCATAAATGCAACTTCATTTCTCTTACCCCATTGCTCCCCAAACTCAGTGTCACCAAACCAGGCTATTTCAGCAAGCCAGGAAAAACAGGCCTGAGCAGCTCCACCTTCTCCCTTCGCCTGCTACTCCTGATACCATGCAAGGCTCCACCCCCAGGAATCTGGGTCCTAAAGCCTGGTCTGGAGGAAGCCCAACCAAACTGGTCAGCCTGGCCTGGTCTCCACTGGAAGCTTGCAGGCCTTTATCTCCACCGTGACTAAATTTGGATCTCAAACTCAGACAATCAGCCTGGGAATTCCTGACGAATTCCAGCAAGCGTTAGCTGTTTTCATTGGTTTTTACAGAGACGGGAGATATTTTTTCCAAGTAACAAGTTTAAAAGCAGTAATTTGTCATTAGAGAAAATTTAGAAAACGGGGAAAAGTCCAATAATACCATTATCCTGACACAGCCCCCATGGAGATTTTTGCTTCTTTCCTGTTGGTTATTCCAACACAGTCTTGTTTGGAGGCTGTTGTTTATTCGTTTGCTTGCTTGCTTGTTTTTACATCCACGAGATCAGAGTGTCTGTGCAGTTTTATATCTTAATTTTCCCACCATGTTTTGACATAAACATGTTCCCGGGTTACAAACTCTTTGCTGAGTGCCAGACGCGGTGCCTAGCACGTCACCAGCATGATCTCGATAATGCTCACACCCATCCTAAAATCAAGAAACCTTACGATTCTTGCTTTGCAGATGAGCAAACTGAGGCACAAAGAGGTTAAGTGTCTCTCCCAGTCATGGTGAGGACCGGGCTGTCCTAGGTATACTAGGACATACATCTAGGTATACATCTGTTATACAGATGTATAACTAGGTATACATCTGTATCACAGTTCGTTCAACCTTTCTTAGAGAGCTAGAGATGCCCATTGCTCCTGCCTGCCCAGCACTAGTTCCCTGGAGACTGCGATTTCCTACTCTCAGTTCTAGGAGAGCAGCTATTGGGTGGAGTTGAGCGCCTATGCTGGGTCTGGCCAATCAGAGGCCCGTATCTCCCTGGTCTCTGCGATTGGCTCAGGAAGGGACACGTGATCCAGGTGGGCCCACACAGGGAGGCTGTTGGCTGCGCCTGCGTTGTGCTGTGGCCAATTGTCTTCAGAACCTGCCTGGGAATGGGTCGCTGCAAAGGAGGACAGAGCGAGAAGCGGGGGAGACCAAGTCCTGTTGCAGCATTTCAGATTCTGGATCCAGTTGCACCTGAAGTGGGTTCTTGGGTTCATGATACTGGACTTTGCAGTTAGCTGAGCTTTTAAATTCCCTTAAATCAGTTTGAGTTTGGTTTCTGTCACTTGCAACCGAGAGTTCTGTCAAGTTCACCATTGCTGTTGGACGTTAGGGTGGCTTATACAATTTTTCTTTACCATTATAAATAATGCTGCAATGCACATCTTTACATATAGAGCTTATCCTTGATTAGAACTATTTCCTTGTGATATTTTCACAAAAGTTACTTGGCAAAAGGATCAAACATTATCAGGATTCTATGGACATTTTGCAAATCGTTCCCTCAAGGTTGGCAATGTTTTGTATCCCTTACCTTCACTCCCCAACAGTATGTGCAACTGCGATTTTTAAAATTGAGTTCTGAAGAAGCTTTCTTTTTTAACAAGCCAAAGTTGTATTTGTTTTTTAAACAGAAAAATTATGTTAATATAAAACAGATAAAAATAGACAAAAACCAAAACACACAACACACAAAAGCACAACACACAGGACCAGTGCAAACCCTTTCCAACCCACTCCCCCCAAGTTTTAAAACCTTTATTACAGATCCCCAAAGATTAGATTGTATTGGAGAAGTCACAGTATTGAATCAGAAAAATAAGAAAAGAGACATTTTTAAAAAGGTCTGTATACAGGTAGTGGGGGGATGGGATGAGAGAGTACACCTCATCACTCCTACATCAAAAACATAATGCAGAAGGGTTTCAGTGATGAGCACATATTTCTAGAATACTACTATGTATGCTAGTCCCCTGCCCACTTTTTGAAGTTGCTTTTAAAAAGGATAAAAAGTGCACAGACACTTTCATAAGGCACAGACAGATTGGTGTACAAGTCATTTCATTAGGGGCTTGGGGAAGACAATTAAATACCAAGAAATGCCACATGTTCCTGAGCAGGCATCCCTCTGCCAGAACTGGGGCAGGGATGGGATTGGGCAGGGAGAGGTTACTGCCTCTCGTTCTCCAAGACTTTGCACAAGCCCATTCTCAACTGGAACTGATGGGGCTCTCTGGGCACCCAGGTATTGATTCCAGCAACCACTCCCAAGCCTGAAAGTAGCAGGTAGCCGTCTCCCCACGGGTCTCCCTGGTGGGACCTGAGGGTAATCATCCAGCGGTGGGGCCCTTGAGGGTTCTGCCCAAGGCCATTTTGGCAGCAGCTCACTGACTACAAAATATCTGGCATTTCTAACGCAGAGGAGGCTTCTCAAAGCAGGCAGGAGGTTCTGGGTCAGGAAAGCAGTCATGGGCACTCACCAGAATAGATCCCCAAAGGCAACAGAATGGCCAAGAAAGCCCAAAGGATTCTGTCCCTAGCATCTCATTATCCTCTAATGTCTCTACCTCTGAAGGCAGAGCTAGGGTGCTGTCCTCTCTGCTCCGCATTCCCAGCACCCCATACCTAGTAGGCACGCAGCAGATGCTTGTTGAATGACTTTGTGTGCATGTATATGTGTTTTACCAAACCCCTGAGCCCTCGTAACTTGATTTCGGATTTCTCCCGTAAACCTTTAATGAGTGCCTACTATGTGCTAGCACAGGACCCAACGCTGGAGGGAGCAAATAAAAGTTTACAAATCCGTCCAGCTCCGGACTGTCTGCTCCCTGCGGCTCTGTCTTTAGGCCCAGTTCCCAACACTGTGTGCAGAACCCAGGCCATGCTGATGAGCGGGTGTTCAGCAAAATGTTACCGCACATAGAGGAGCAGCTGCCCTGGGCAGCTAAACCCCAGCAGCCTCCCAGTTCTGGGAATGGACTAGGAAAAGGGGCTTGTGTTGACTTGGAAACAGCCCAATTTCTCTGGTGGTTCAAAATAAGCAGGCACAAGACCACAACAAGGGAGTATCTTCTGGTCACCCCCTTCTTAGCCCTAGCGTCCCTGCCTGAGCGAGTGGCAGTGTTGAGGCCCAGGAAGGTGGTGGGACAACGCCCTCAGCCCCTCCACGAAGTTGCCCCGTATGTGCACCCCTGTGTCACCAAAGGAGGCCTTCAGGTTGGACTCAGGATCTCACATAGCTCAGCTCTGCCAGGAGAAGGCAGGCAGCGGGAAGGTGAGCCTGAAAGGAAGGACACTTGTCCTTCTAGGGTATGGGTGGCAGAGGGACCACAGCCTGGGGCTGGAAGCCTCCATACAGGCGCCGGTGCCCAGGCTCTCTCCAGGGGCTGCCTAGAGAAGTTTCAAGAAAGAAAACTCAAGGCAGTCTCAAGCTTTCTGGAGCTTGGGGCCAGGCAGCGGAGAGAGTGGGATTCAGCACCAGACACTCCTGGGTTTGAATCCCAGCCCTACCACCTGCTGCATGTGATCCTATCACTTCACTCACAGGACCTCAGTTCTCTTACCTGTCAAACGGGAATAATACCGTGTTTTGTCAATTCTAAATAGCACAGCTTTTTTTTTTTTTTTTCACATTTCAAGTCTCTGATTAGAATGAATCATATAGCTGTGGTATCTCACAGTTAAAATTCGCATTTTTTCCCTTAGCGGTACATAAAATGGTGTATTTTACAATCAGTGGTGTTTTAGATGTGACTCAGTGGGGTAAGACCTGCCTCACAGGATTAATGCGTGGAGACGCCTCTCCAGCCCAGCGCCGAGGCACATAATGACGTGAAGTGAAAGAGAGGGGTTCCCTTTCCTCTTTCTCCCGCCACGTGAGGGCCATGTGAGCAGCTCCTCTATAGCACTGAATAAATCAGTTTAGAGCATCAGGAAATGTCTGGTTTTTAGAAGACAAACACCCCCTTAATTCCTCTTGGAAACAGGGAGGCTATTTATAGCAGCTGCGGAGCAAGTTAAACAGGCCACCAGCTCCTTTTGATCCAGGTAACAGGTCACCAGGAGCATGGCCCAGTCCACGTCGGGTCCAGGCCCTCAGTCACTGGTTTCCTGGTGGTGGCTGTACATGACCCTGGCTGGAACCCAGGGGTGGGGGCAGTTAGGAAGAGCAAGAGGCAGGGGAGACCAGCTGCCTCCTGCTGGCTTCGAGGACCACCAGAGCTTGTGACTGGCTCAATCCGGTCAGTGGGCACTGCTGCCTGGAGAACCAGCTCTGGTGGGGAGGAGGTCACGAGTCCTTTCCCACATGGTCTGGGCCCATACATGGGGAAATTGGAAGGCTCCTGCTGGCCAAATGCAGCTGGGCACTGAGTGCTACCCAGCGTCTCCGGCTCTCGTCCTCCCCAAAAACTTCCGTCACAAGATTTAAAGGTGGGCATGTTTCCCAGATTCACTAGGGGGACAATAACCAATCAGGGGTTCTTGCAGGGGCAAGAGTGGGGGTTCTGAAGTTGAGATCAGGTCAGAACACTATGACCACTCCAGGCAGAGAAGAAGCAGTTGGTCCAAGACCTAGAACATTACAAAGACCACCTGGTCTTACAGGCTTTGATTTGATGAGGGCCCAGCTGAGCTGGGCTCTGGGCCCCCAGACACCCAGCACACATGTGTTCTATGAATGCAGAAACTCTCTGAATGTTCTCCTTTCTCTGCCATCATCTGTGCAGCAGAGGAACAGATTAGGAATTGTAGTAAAAGTGTTACCTGTTCTTTGTAGGGTGTCTTGGGCTTTTTAGATGTTATGCTGGTTCCCTCGTGGGTTCTGGAGTAGGAAGGACAGATTGAGAACTGAGAATCAGAGAGGCCCAGGGGCTTCCTTAAAAGTACAGCACGGATAGGGCAGAGGTTAGGCCCTGAACTGGGGGCAGAGCGGGCCTGGGCCAGCCTATCAGCCCAGGGGTGGTCTGGGAGTCTGCAGACATGGGCCTCCGCAGGGGTGCGGAAGTCGGGGACAGGGCCAGGTCCCAGGAAATGCCTGTAAATGGCCCTGGGAAGGGGGAGAGTCCCAAGGTCAGCATTTTAATGTCTCAGCTCTTAACATCTTAATGATCATTTAACATCTTAGTAATCAGCAACGTAAGGGAAGCTGAGAATCAGAACCAGTTGCAAAGTCTTTTCCTCCTACCGCTTCCCCAGCAGGCTGTCCTGGTGATGCCCACCGCTGCTGGTGAATGCCAGGCCCGGGCTGACAACACGAAATGTGAAGAGCCGTCTGCGTGATGGGGTGGCCTTTCCAACTGCAGGTGAGTCACCTGCCTCCAGGATTCTTTCTCTCCTCCAGGAAAAGAGAACCTGCTGCTTGCCTTCTTCTTGGGGACAGCAAGGGATGGGACAGACAAAAAGCATCTAGAGGGACCGAGTCAAGGTGCACTATGCTTATTATTAGGCTATCTGGGTTGAAGGGGTGAAAAGGCTTCTGGGGATGACACCACCCAGAGCTCTCGGTGGGCCGCAGCACCCATCAAAACTCCTCTCTAGGACTGAGGAAGAAACTAAAAAAGCAAATTGTTCTTTTCTGTTCTCCACCCACCTTCCCCCCAAGGCGTTGCTGCTTTGGAGCTGTAAACAATGAGCTATTTTTTCCTTCCCTTACAAAATCTGAGTGTCCCTTTTCTATACCATCCAAGGGAGTTCTGTTTAGGTGCAGGCTTCATACATTCAAAACCAGCTGACGTTACAGCCCCAGAGAGTGAACAATTTCTAGTCACACTACCGTCTGGGCTCTGGATTGCACATTCCTTAGTGTTAAATAACCTCCCAGAGCCAGGATCCCTGGATAAATACCTATGCGTTCTCTCTCACTCGTTCTCTCACACACATTCTCTCTCTCTTCTCTGGCCACTCCCTCCCCTCACCCTCTCTCACACACACTCAACCCAACTCCAGCAAAAAGCATTGCACAGGGAATGCTGTTTCCCAGCCGAGAGGTCACCGAGGGACAGGGTGGTCTGCTAGGCAGTTCCTGAGCTTGCTTTTGGGACGGCCTTTTGGGGGCAAAGCACTTTTGAGCCAGAAGCAGCCCTTGCCTGGGCTCAGACCCCCAGGGCCTCATCTCCATGACTGTCATGCCTTGCCCACCATTGGAGAGTGGCAGATGGGATGGCCACTGCCCTTGGACTCCCTGGTGGCCATAGCAGTTGCCTGGCTCAGGGGGCCTTCAGAAAGGTGACCTTGCTCTGGCCAAGGCCCATTGGTGGGCCAGGCTACGGCCTGTAGATCTTAATGACATCCTTGATGGGTCGCCGGCAGATGGGGCAGCAGGCGCGGGCCTGCCTCTTGAGCCGTAGGCCACAGCTGTGGCACAGACACATATGTCCACACGTGTAGATGACTGTGTCCACTTCCCCGTCAAAGCACACCGTGCACTCGCCATTCTTGCTGCCTGCCGGCTCCGGTGGGGAGAACACAGGGGACACTGGGGGGCTCAGCGGGGAGCTGGGTGCGGTCACTGCAGAAAGGGAGAACAAGACAGACCTTAATAATGTGGTTTTCACGTGGGTTCTGCTGGGGCAACCCCAAGAAGGCAGAGCTTCTATGGCCGAACTTGTGGGGAAACAATTTTTAGAGACACCAATTTGGGGTTTTTCTCCTGGGCTTTGCCCCCTTCCTTACTCTCCCTCCCCCAAGCATCAAGCACCATGATCACCCTTTGGGATACGACATGGAGATTTCTCCTCCCTCTAGATGACTGTACAGCCGAGGAAGGAGAAGATGCAGGCGGAAAAGGTGGCCATCCTTGCTTAGCCTCAGGAAGGCTCTGGCGCAGCTGAAGGAGCCAGGCCAGCCACCAGCCCCTACCCCCTCTAGGGTTTATACCTCCTTACCCAGGGATGACTCAGATGCTGAGGAGGACTGGTTGACACTGAAGGCCATATCAGAATCGCTATCATCCTGGGAGCCGCTGAGGGACCCTGATGGGGACGTGGTCGCAGGGCTGGACTGCAAGGTGCCTGAAACCAGAGAGACTCCATCAGGGGTGGTAGAAGGTGAGTCCTGTTCTGCTAGTCCCTGGCTCTTCGCTCTTTTGCACCTTAGCTTCCCCATCTGTCTAATGGGGGGATAAGAGTTGCCTCCCAGGTTTCTGCTAAGGATTGATGGAATTGTACATGTGTGGTGGACACCTATTCTTTGCCTGCTCGGCCTCCAGTCTTGTTTATTTCAGAAACAGTACCAGGATTTTTTGTTGGGGCACTTACTTCACCCTCACTCACATGATCTAGGCCAGGCCAGAAGAACTTCTACCCCTTGGTCTCAATGATGGTTTAGGTAAGGCTACATAACCCAGTGAAGGTCAAAGAGGTCTTCATGAGAACACTACAACTGTTGGGAAAGAAGGGGCGCATCCATTGGGAGGTAGGTCTGGCACTGTAGAGCCTGCCTGAGAGTGAAGCCAACATAGGGGAAAGTGAGCTTTGGGATGGGATCCTGAGGACATGCTTTTAAAACCTCGATCCGTCTGTTCCTGAATCCATCCAATATACTCCCAGACTTTTGAGGTATGTGTACCCATACATTTCCCTTTCAGTTTAGGTCACTTTGGGGTTTTGTCACTTGCAACTACAAGATTCCTGACTAGTAGTAGTCAACACGAATGAGTTTTCTCCCTTATGTTCACTGCTGGTTCAGATAATAATGGGTTATTTCTTAGGTGAGAGAGATGTTCCTTCCCTTACCCTACTTGAGGATGGATGGACAGATAATGCAGTGCTAGGGTTGCTGACAGGTAGAAATCAGGAGGGCAAGTCCCTGGCCTCCAAAAGAAGTCACTTCTATTCTACCTTCTCTTCCTGACCACTCAAGGACTCATCCTGGTTCCTCTGGAGGTGCTGGGGAGGAGGGTAAGGAAGACTGATTCTAGGCTTAGTTCTTGCCAAAGCCCCAGTGGGGAACTTAGGCAACTCATCTCAGGGTAAATGGTGACTATGTCTGGTCATTCCTTAAAAACAAAAACAAAAACAAAACAACAAACGATACCACCGCTTCCTTGTTCCTCCTCTGCCTGCAAACAGCAGTCATTGTTGTTACTACGTATTAAACATGCTAAAGGTGGCAGGCACCTGCTGAAAGCATTATATGCACCTCATCATTTCATCCTCATGACAATGCCAGGATGCAGGTAATTGCTCCCTCTGTACACAAAAGGAATCCAAGGCTCAGAGAAGGTCTGTGATTTGCCCAACATCTTCATGGCTGACCAGCTATGTGACTGGGACAGTCAGTTAATCTCTATGTACTTCAATTTTCTTATCTGTGGATGGATTAATGATTTCGGTTTCATAGAGGCATCAGGAGTATAAAATTGAATGAGATAACAGGGAATGTTCATTCTTTCTGTTACCATTTGGACTGACTTCTTGAATCATGAAAATGGAGCTGTGCTCTCTGGGAACCTTCCCTGACCACCACCTCCATTCTACCAAATGGGAGAGAAGCCCCTCTGCAGTGGCCCCCATCACATGGTGCAGCTCTCCATTCAGGTGTGTAAGTTCCTGCTGGGCATGGCCTATGTCCTGTCCTCTACCATGCTCCATCCTGGAGCCCAGGGCCTGGCCCACAGCTGGTGGGTGCTCCGCGTCTATTGGTGGCATGAATGAAGGCAAAATCATGTCCAAATCAGATGGTTCAAGCCTCCATCCCATTTGCTGTGGATGCTGTTATTCTGATGTCCTCTTTTAAGTGTAGCTGTGTTTACTTTTTCTCCTACAACTTAATATGCCTCATGTATATAAGAAATGAATGTGAGATAAGTCATAACAGGAATAAAAATTGCACTGACCATTTACCGACTGCATAAAGCCTTCCAGGCCCTGACCCCAGTGGGAACTTAGGTCCTCGTTGGCCAAGTGTGGGCTTGGGAGCAGCAACATGGACATCCCTGGGACACTTGTTAGAACTGTATTTCGGGGCCGCCCCTACTAAATCAGAAACTCTAGGCGGAGGCGGAAGGGCGCTAATAGCGCTCAAGCCTGGGAAGCGGGCCTGGGCTTCAGCGGTGCGGCTCGAGCCACCCAGCGGCGGCCCGGCGCACGCGCGGTCGGTCGGGGAACTCACCGAGGAGGCGCAGCTGGCCGGCGGCGCCACCGCGCACGGCGAAGAAGGCCCAGAGCGCCTGCGTGGTGTCGACGCACAGCAGGCGGCCGCGCGGGCGCCCGTTGACGCCCAGGAGCACGTCGCCGCCGGGCCGCAGCGTGAAGCTGAGCGCGTCGCCGCCGCTCGGCACGGGCCCGGCACGCGCAACCACCCAGTACTCCTTGCGGTCGAGCAGCGCGTCGGGGTCGGCCGGCAGCTCCGCGGGTCGGAGCCCGCCCGGGTCGCACGACGTGATGCCGAAGGCCAGCGCGCTGGGCGCCGCCAGCCCCGGGCGGCCCACCTCCACGAAGAGGCTTTCGCCGGGTCGCAGCGGGCGTTCGGAGAAGACAAGCGTGCGGCCGCCGTCGGGCCGCGGCGCGCAGGCCACTTTGCGGTCGGCGGACAGGCTCACGTCGGGTCCGCGCGTCGCGTGGAAGCGCAGGTCAGCCTCGAGCAGCGCCGGCGACGATGCGGGCCGCGGGCGCTCGCGAGGCCCGCACGGGATGGCGGCGGCCGAGGCGTCGGCGGGCAGCGGGCCCGGGGCGCGGCTCAGCGCCAGGTGACCCAGCTTGGCCACCACCTGGTTGTTCTCGAGCTCGTTGTTGTCGAAGTTGGCGGCGTCGTGGCTGCTGGGCGGCAGGCAGGCGCTGAAGCGGGCCTGGCTGAGGCGCGCGGGCGTCAGCGTGTCGGCGAATGCGCTCTCTGCGCCAGGGCAGAAGGGGGGCCGTGAGGGTGCGGGCCGCCGGCGGGGAGCCCCCGGCACCCGCGGCCTCGGTCCCCCCGCTCCCCCCCGCCCCCTCCCCACAGCCCCTCACTTTTTCTAGTTCACGTGTGTATTGATTGAAGAACCACAGGTGCACAGAATCTGAATAAGCACAATCCTGCTGGGCATGGCCTATGTCCTGTCCTGTACCATGCTCCATCCTGGAGCCACTTCTCTTTGGGATGGGCGGATAAGGCCCTTCCTCCGTTTTTCCTTCCTTCTTCCCTCCCTCCCTCCTTCCTTCTTCCCTCCCTCCCTCCTTCCTTCTTCCCTCCCTCCCTCCTTCTTCCCTTCCTCCCTCCTTCCTTCTTCCCTCCCTCCCTCCCTCCTTCTTCCCTTCCTCCCTCCTTCCTTCTTCCCTCCCTCCCTCCTTCCTTCTTCCCTCCCTCCCTCCCTCCTTCCTTCTTCCCTCCCTCCCTCCCTCCTTCCTTCTTCCCTCCCTCCCTCCTTCCTTCTTCCTCCCTCCCTCCCTTCCTTCACCCTTCCTCCCTCCTTCTTCCTTCCCCCACTCCAGAGGTTTTCTCATACTTTGGAAGATTTGAAAACCCTTTATTGTTGGCCTCCCCAACTAGAACATAAGCTCCAATAAGTGAATCCTTCTGCTCTTTATTTGTGGCCTTATATGACAGGCGCTATTTTAAGCTCCCTTGGCGTGTTATCTGAGTCCTCACACAACCTGTGAGGTGTGTTCTGTTATCACCAGCCATTTAACAAAGAAGGGAGGTGAGGCACAGAGGGGTTAAAGAATTCGACCAAGGTCACACAGAAACTGGCAAAGCCACAACAAGAACCCAGGCTCTTCAACATGTGCTGAATCTGAAAGAACAGAGCCCAGTGCTGCACAAACATTGAATATGTTAGCTTTCTGCAAGAGATGGCCTCATTTTATAGGACAGAAAACTAAGTTTTAAGTCACCGTCATGAAAATATTTTTGAATAATTTTTAGTGGGATGGAAACATGTTCTTGATACTACATATTATATAGTTAAGTAAAAAAACAAAATAGTGTTTCATTTAGGTAATACAGGTCTTCATACTTTGGTAGATTACTTGTCGATTGTCTCCCCAACTAGAATGTGAGTCCTTGCCTGTCTGTTCACCACCACCTTCTCAGGGCTTAGCAGGGTTCTGGGCAAAGAACCTTCATTCTTTATTGTATGAATAAATGAATGAATGAGGTTTCTAGAAGACTGCCACTCTGAGTAACAAATCAGGGAAAGAAAGAAACAGTCACTAAAGTATTGTGAAGTTCCTTTAGTGATAAAAATATTCTCATTAACCATAATAAGTAAAGCAAGAAAAAGTGTTTTTCAGACTTCTCTAACTAGACTCCTCTAGCTAAGATTTGTCATTCTGTAATTTATATCATGGAAAAAACTATTTCTTCCTCTTTAGTTTTCCAAATATGAAATGAAGTCATAATAGTGAATATGCTTTTTCAAAAAGCGTGCCCTAGCCCCTAGTGAGAGTCTGACAAGTTACTCCCTACCCCACCTGCAGAAATCCACAGGGCAGATTTTGTAAACTGGCCATCCACGTTCTGACCTGGCTCACAGAACTGTTTGTTTGGCCTACTGGTGTATTATCCAGTATTTCTACAATAAATACCTATATTACAAGTCTTATCAGAAAACCCCAATATTTTAAAAAATCTTTTTCAATTACTAGTTAATAATGTGGGAAAACACCAATGATATAAATTAAGTGAGCAAAAGAAAATACAAAACAATATATTATTTGGTTCCAATCGTGCGGGAAATGTATGTATAGGATGCATAGGAAAAATACAGGAAGGATATACATAACAATGTGAGGGTGGTTATCTCTGGATGGAAATTTGCTTTACAGTTTTTAGATTTTCTCACTTTAGTGAACATGTATTGGTTTTGTAATCAGAAAAAAAAAGGCACATATAAAAGATTAAAATAAGATTTTCTGTTTGTTTTTTTAAGACATTTTAGATAAGTGGATGTTTCTGGTATAGCATCCACTTCTGGTGGAGCCTCCTGGTGTGATGCACTCTCCCAGGGCTCTCTGTCCTACACATCCTGCTAGGCCAAGCCTAAAGGCACTGGCCGTGACTCACCCTGGGTCTCTGCCCTTGCCAACGTCTGCTTCTGTCCCCCACCCCAGTGCTCCTCCTCCTTGCCCAAACAGCTCTACATAGGAGTCCATCCTTCAGTGCAGCATTCTAATTAAGAGCATGGCCTGTGGAGATGGTTCAAGTCCTAGGTTCAGCGCTTCCTGGCTATGTGACTTTAGGTAAGTCACTTAATCTTTCAGAGCCTCAGCTTCCTCAGCTTAAAATGGAATAATCCTGGTCCCCCTCCTTCATGTTGTTACAGAGATGAAATGAGATGTTTTTATGAATAGTGTAGCACAGAACATGGGACAAAATAAGTGCTCAAATCATGTTATCGTTATTCCTTCAATGTTTTTTGAACAAAATGTATAGAGCACTTGCCATGTGCCAAATGCTGTGCTGGGTGCTGGATGAAGAGAGATGAACAAGCAGGCACAGCTCCTGTGTCCATGGAACTCCCATTCCAGTGGGAAAGACAGACTTTAATGAAGCATCGGACATAAAACTGTGTAAGTAGAAACTGTGGTGAGTGCTACTAAGGGCCACTGTCCTGCACGGCTCTTTAAAATGAGCATGTTTCAGTGGGGGAACTCAGACTCTGAAAGGCATGGTGAGTTACTCCACGTCACGCAACCAGAGAGTGACAGAACTGGAGTTCTCTGAATGTGAAAGGGAAACTTGGTCAGAAGTGAGGCCACAACGGGTCTTTGTGACAGTGAAGATGGAGTGAAGACCTGAAGGCCAAGGGAGTAGAGTGGTGCCTGGAAGTGGGGTATAACCATTCCAGGCAGAAGGAATAGACTGTGTGAAGGAACAGCATTTCTGAAGTGAAAGCTTAATCTGCGAGCCTGGTGTAACAACATATGTGACAGCATTTAGCCTGATACCTGGCACACAGCAGCCCCTCAGAAAAGGTTGATTCTCCTCACTTATCTCTATGCAAGGAGCTTTGTCCCCATCAGGCATTGTCCCTGAGTGAGACAGGCCCAAGACAGCACAGTGCTGGCCTAGGCCTGACACTTCAGAATCCACCTCTCAAAAGATTCTCTGTGGAGAACCAGAAATCCCACAATAATACCAAGAGGCCCCCAAGGGAGCTTATCAAGATTTCCTAACTTCTAACCTGTGATTTGCCTCCAAACTCTCTAGACCTGATGAAAGTATATACAGATATTTTTTTGAGACCCTACCTACCAGATGCAGTTCCGCACATTATCCCTATCAGTCCTCACCACTATCTCATGTAGCTCTGTAAAGTGGGCACTTTTCATAGCGGGAGAACACCAAGGCTCTGAGAAGTGGAGCGAGTTATTTAGGTTGCACAGCCAGGGGTGACAGTAATGGGATTCCTTCTCAGGCTATATGACTCCAAAACCAGATCCCCTGACCACTAGCAGTACTGCCTCCAAAGTTCACCTTTGTTCTACTCTTAGAGCTGCCAGCACGTGGACTCAGCCTCCAGCAAATGGCTCTTGGGGTTGCAGTCCCCACGAGTCTAATATGACCCCTGAGAGAATGAGTCTGACAATTCTGCCCCCACCCCAAACATCTGAATAGCAGTCCCAGGCCAGGCACAGGGGAGACTGGGGTGGCTAGGATTGGCTCCACAACCTCCCACTCTCGCTGGGCCATGTCCAGAGCCTGGCTCTGGATCTGGGAGAAAGCTGGATTTTTTCCTTTCTTTCCTTTCCCTAGCGCTCTCAGGTCAAATATGTCTGGGACTGGAAGTAGAACAGAATTTATGTCTCAAGAGAAACCGTATTTGTGTGAAGACAAAAGAAGCCTAGAAGAATTAGAGACAGAAAGGGCCATCCATCAGTCACTTCATTGTCTCCAAAGGTGATTCAGGATATGCACTAGAGGCAGAAGGGGCAGGGCATGCTGGCAGAATGGATGTAAGGCAAGGAAAAGAGGAATCAGGAATGACTCCTGAGGTTTTGGACCAGTCAACTAAGTGGGTGGTGCCCTTCAGTGACAGTGGGGATGGCTGCCTGAATGTTCAGTGTGGAATACTTTTTGGATGGTAGGAGGAGATGTGAGTAGGTAGAGGGAAGTCTGGACTTCAAGGGAGCCATCAGGGCTAGGAATATGGACTTGGGAGCCAACATCCTAAAGATGGGATTCAAGACCTGGTGACAGGCTTGGATCATCATCTGGAGAAAGGGTAGATGGAGAAATGGTCTTCCTCTATGATGGCTTGTTAAACTCCACAGATGTTTTGTACACTTTTCTACATGCATATTGTATTACATGATAGAGAAGAAAGCTGACAATAGAACCCTGGGGTTCTCAGCATATGGAGACAGGCAGGGAAGGAGCCAAAAAAGAAGCCAAGGAGGAGCAGCCAGGGAGGCTAGAGGAAAACCAGAAGCTTGTGAAGCCAGGATGCATGAGCAGGTCAGAGAGGCAGGGAGAGACCACCTGTGCCAAAAGTGAGAGGCCAGGTAAGAAGAAGAGGCTGAACTCTGGATCTGGCAGCCTGAAGTCTGGTGAGATAATGAGGATAGCTTGGGAGCAGCCAGATTTCAGTGCATGAGGCAGGAATTGGATAAAATCATTGTGAGGAGGTACATGAGCTCCAGCTACCCCATGTGTCACTGCTGCAGCTAGGAACAATTTTCTTCAAAGTACCTGGTGGTGAACTTAACCCAGGAGAAGATGAAGGACTAAAATGCTGACAGAGCTACTAGTCATCGAGATCAAGTCCTGCCAGACAGGGTCATTGCTAATTGTATTGGTAACTGGTAGAGACCAAATTTTGAACCTCCTCAGTATCCATTTTTTCCTGTACATATTACAAAGCCCTAAGGAACTAAGCTGTTTTTGGTTCAACTTCGAGAGGAAGCCTTGTTTAT